AAGTTTTTCAAGAGTTATCGTGGGAACAAAATTTTTGATCTACAGACAGACAGACAGACAGACAGACAGACAGACAGACGAACAGACAGACACCATCGCCGGACCATGTTTTTTGGGTTCAGGGGACCCCAAAACGTCGAGATTTCATGAAATTACCGAAAGTCAATTTTCGACCAAAACTAATACTTTCTCATATGATGAGAATGTAAGAATTTACCAAAAAAAGTCAAAATCGCTTTCACACCAAGTTGTAAAGGTGTTTCTGCAATAGCTTTAAAATGCATTTGTTTTTTCTAATTTAAAGTAACTGCACATTCTGCTTATAAATTCACTTTAAATCATCAAATACAAAGCAAATTATCGTAAAGGTGCTTCTATACCTCCGGTGTTTTGGCCAAGCAATCGGCTGGATGCATTTTCATGGTCGGATCACGTAATTTTATTGGCTGTACTAAAGATTCCATTTTCACTGTTTATGAAAATTAGAAACAGTGAAAATGGAATCTTTAGTATAGCCAATCAAATTACGTGATCCGACCGTGAAAATGCATCCAGACAATTCCTTGACCAAAACACCGGAGGTATAGAAGCACCTTTAATGTATATGCAGTATGTGCAATTACTCTGAATCAGACAAAAAAAATTCATTTTCAAGCTATTGCAGAAAAACCTTTATAGCTTCGTGTAATGGCAATTTTGACATTTTTTGTTAATTTTTTTTCTACCGACAGTCGTATAAATGTACCCTTATAGAAAATTGATTTTTAGGCAAATGTTATGGAGCGTTTACATCTTCTGTAAAAATTGTCCGAAAAGGAAAATTTGCATTGGAGTAAGAGAGTCTGATACACAGTCTGTCTCTCTTACTCTAATGAAAAATTTTCCGTTCTCGAAATTTTTACCGAAGGTGTAAATGCTACCTTAGTGTTTTAAGTCGGTTATATTACCGAAAATGAGAATATTATCGAGAATATAACATAATCTCAGAAGATTTTTAACTTAATAAAACGTTCTGATTTGTTAAATTTAATCATATTTATTTGTGAACAAACCTTAAGTTATTGGATATATTGTGTACTGAGTTATGGGTAAGACTCCGTCAGAAAAAAAGCGATTTGCAAGTGGTCTTCCGATTTCTTCGAAACCTTGGGAAATAGAAGTCTTATATGAATCAAATTTAACCCTAAAAGGATTTTAAAAAATTTTCAAAATGGCGGCCGCTACGCCATATTGAAAATGAGTGTTACGTTTTTTTCAAAAATTAATAACTCTGAAACTTTTTGATCGATTTTAATAAAATTTACAGGCGATATAGTTAAAAATACGTAGTTTAATTTGATATTACGAACAAAAAAAAATTTCCAAAATTTGTCAAAAAAAAAGTCAAAAAAATTTTTTGAATTAATTTTTAGTTTAGTTGGCCTAATTTTTGAATTTTCTAATAAGTAAGTATCGATTCCTTGTAATTTCACCTTTCATTTCATAAAAAAAAATTTATGGAGACTCTAATAGTTCTCGAGATATTGCGACTTTAGTGGGAGCGCGTACCGCGGAATTAAACTCCGTAGCGAGGCGGAATATGAAGCGAGCGTACAAACGTGCACAATAGGGTGTCCGTAACAATGCGACTTTCGAATTTTGTTTACGCCACCCCCCAGTTTAGTTCCAATAAAATAAAAAAAATTTCCCAAAATTTGAAGCCGATTGATTAATATTAACACGTGCCAGAGATCCATCGAAATTTCCCATTAAAAATACATAGGAAAAATGCACTTTTTAAAAAAAATTTATAACTTTTTTAATTTTCATGCAAAAAATTCTCCAGGTCACATTTGCCTTCATTTTTAGCTGCACTATAAGATAGCACTTTGCCAAAAATTAAATTTTTAAAAATTTTTAAAATGGCGGATGATTAAAGTGGGTCATAAAAATGCACCACAATATATCCAAGGTTTTAACACATAAGTGTTGTCAAAAATTCAAAAAAATTACTTACTCGGGGCTATTTTCGATCGTTCATCATGAATCTGATATCAGAATTTAATTTTTCCAAATTTTCGATCCAATATGGCGGGTTCAAAATTTTGATTTTCTACATTTTTAAAGTAAAAATTCTAAAACAACGTCAAGGGCGATTTTTGGAAGCGCTATTTACACTCAGAGAAAAAGTTTATTTCACTTAACCAAACTGTTTAATTAACCTATTTTATTTGTCACGATAAAACAATTTTGTTGATTTAAATAAAAATTTGGTTTATTTTAATAAATACGTAAAATTTGTTTGGTTATTGGAAAGAAATTTTTTATTTGAAGTTGTTTGTTATATTTAACCAAATTTGTGTTTTGAATAGAGAATATTGTTTAGTTAAATACAGTTTGTTCGACACAACACACAAATTTGTTTGATTCAACCAAATCATTTTATTTGAGTCAAAAAAACATATTTGCTTGTCTCAAAAAGTACATGTTTGAATTTAAAAATGGCGATCTCACTTGTCTACAGTCCGCGTTCGCGTCAAATTTATTTGTTAAATCGGTAAATCAAAGAAAAAAAATTATAAGTGTCGGTTAAATAAATATTAAATACATTGTGTTCATTGACTTACTGCATATTTAATTTGTACCAGTGAGAAGAATATTTGCAAAAACGTTTTGTGAAGTTTTCAGTTTGTTGTTTCGAATAAACTTTTTTCTGAGTGCACGTATAAAAATCATAATTATAATATGTTTAATGTAATATTTCAAATGTTTTTTTATAATTAAGTAATTTTGTCTATATGAAGAAATACATATATAATATTTTACTTAATTGTTATTTATTTTCCTCTTATAATGTTTAAGTTTCCTAAGTTAATATTTTCTAGTATACATATTATTGGTTAATTTATAATTTATTATATGTATAATTTTAAAATATCAATAATTATATAATAAATTATAAATTAACCAATAATACGTACTAGAAAATATTAAATTAGGAAATTCAAATATTATTAGAGGAAAATAAATAACAAAATTAAGTAAACAAAAATATTTATTTAAATGAACCAAATACGTTTACTAAAACTATTTATTTGAATCAAACAAATCTTTTCTCTTGAAATAAACAAATTTTTTAGTTATATTAAATAAAATTTTTTGGTTAAGTGTAATAAGCATTTGGTTAATACAAATAAACGTATTGGAAGAAATTTTTTGGTTGAATCAAACAAACGTTTGGTTGACTGTATAGCAATGCATTTATTTGGTTGATTCAACCAAAATTTGGTTGATTCGTACAAATTTTTTTCTGAGTGTACGAATCTAATGTTAAAATTTTATTTTTCAAATTATTCGATTCACTATGACGGATTCAAAATTATGATTTTCTACATTTTTAAGTAAATAGTCTAAATATTAATTTATAGATTAATATTTACAAAAAATAATTATTGGGATGTTTTAGAAACTCTTTTATAGAAATTTAACTTTTTATACCTCTGCTCTTAAAAATCGATTATTAAAGGAATATTTAAAAAAAAAATTTGAATCCGCCATGTCATATTAGATTCGGTAATTTAAAAAATAAATTTTTAACATTAGATTCGTAAATAGCGCTTCCAAATATCGCCCTTGACCTTGTTTTAGAATATTTACTTCGAAAATGTAGAAGATTAAAATTTTGAACCTGCCATATTGGATCCAAAATTTTGAAAATTAATTGTTACGGACACCCTATTGTGCACGTTTGTACGCTCGCTTCATATTCCGCCTCGCTACGGAGTTTAATTCCGCGGTACGCGCTCCCACTAAAGTCGCAATATCTCGAGAACTATTAGAGTCTCCATAAATTTTTTTATGAAATGAAAGGTGAAATTACAAGGAATCGATATTTACTTATTAGAAAATTCAAAAATTAGGCCAACTGAACTAAAAATTAATTCAAAAAATTTTTTTGACTTTTTTTTGACAAATTTTGGAAATTTTTTTTTGTTCATAATATCAAATTAAACTACGTATTTTTAACTATATCGCCTGTAAATTTTATTAAAATCGATCAAAAAGTTTCAGAGTTATTAATTTTTGAAAAAAACGTAACACTCATTTTCAATATGGCGTAGCGGCCGCCATTTTGAAAATTTTTCAAAATCCTCTTAGGGTTAAATTTAATTCATATAAGACTTCTATTTCCCAAGGTTTCGAAGAAATCGGAAGACCACTTTCAAATCGCTTTTTTTCTGACGGAGTCTTACCCTTATATTTACGTAAGTTTCAATGTTTTGCAGATTCAATAAATAATTACAATTTTTATTTTTTCTTTGTGTATTTGATGTACAATTAAACTTACACAAATATTGAAGCGTAAGGCATACGAAACTGGCGAACGCTAAGCATTAAATAGGGAATTATCTTTAACTGTTCTATACCATTTCTAAATTTAGTTTTCTACCTAATTTTGAATGAATTCAAATAACTTTTATTTCTTTACATTTAAATTATATTTAAACTCCTTCTATATTATGTTACGATCCTAATTATTATAATTTCCCTAATGTTTCCCGATTTTATTTTAAAATTAATTAAAATAGGGACAGGGTAGTAAATAACAAGAAATTACTTTAGTTGAACAAATGTATGTGTATTTTATGAAATAAGATAAAATTGATGAAAATAAGAGATGGACACAGGCTTTCTAATGTGAGTCTTAGAGTGGTTGATTGTTTACCTTGGGACAAAGGGTGATGCTAGACGTTCAGGTATAATGGCACTGGTCCTTTAATAGTTAACTAATTGGATGCAGTATTGTGTCTCGAGAAACAGGAACACTCTTTTCAAATGGCAAATTTGACTTCCAGATCGACTTTCCAAAATGCACTTTTGAAATATACGTAAAGTAAAGGACAACTACTGAAACTGGGATTAGGGCACTGTGTCGTGAAGGACCACTTGTTATAGATAAAATTTTAAGACTGACTTGTGCAGAGCACCACTTCTCAATTTGAGACTTATAATGTTGACGACTACATTTTCTTGACTGCTTTTCTAGACTGATTTCTAGACTGAACTGCTGTTGATGGTCTGGCTCTTCTTATACCCAAATTTTCCTGTGTATTTTATAAATTGTACGTGTTTCCATGTATTTTAGGAATCGTCCAAGTTTTCATGTATTTTACGAATTGTACGAGTTTCCATGCATTTTCAGAAGCCCTTTGTTGCGGGAACACTTGTGGTGACTCACCATTAGATCGCACGTGTACATTGCTTATTACTCATATGTTATTCTATAATGTTGTTATTTCCATTAATTGTTTATAATTTGTTGTTACAATTGATTGTTTATAATTTGTTATTACAATTCATTATTTATGATTTGTTGTATTATTTGTTGATATTTATTATTACAATTCTATTATTTAATATTTATTATTACAATGTATTATTGTTTATTATTATTTCTTAAAGTTTGTTGTTAAGATTGTTATATTTAACTATTTATTACATTTTGTTATTATTTGTTAATATTTATTATTACAATTTATTATTGATTATTATTAATATTTATAGTTATTATTTATAATAATATGTAAATAACAATTTTGTTATTAACTTTTATTATGATTATTACTATTATTATTAATTATTATTAATATTATTAATTAACATGATTATTATTATTAATTATTAAGATTAATTATTATTCTACATATTATTATTGAAAATAGGTTACGGTGACGTAACAATTATAATTATATTCTTTGTTGCTACTATTAATAATTATTTATTATTTTCAATAACATTGATTTCTATTTATTTACTCTAATTGCTTTTTTAATAAACATAAATTAATAAATATATACCATTTGTCTAGTTTTAATTATCTGATGCTGAATTAGAGTGTATGTTAATTGTTATTAATGATACTAAAAAACGTTTTATGTTTATTTAATTTTCTTAATTACTTTTAATTAAAAAATGAATAAAAGTAAATATTTATTTTTTATCTATTTCAAAAAAGGCTATCAACATTTTAAAATTAGCGCCAACAATTGGACAACCGCAGCTCCATCTGCAACATGCACTTTGCTTATGAGTATGCCATTCTCCAATGCTTTTTTCCACTGGGTATTTATTTAAATTTAAATTTATTAAATATAAAAATAAATTTTAAATATTATTAAATTCCGTCAGTCTAGTTTCTCTGACGAAATGTAAATAGCAAATATATGTATCTTTATTTACATTTTTTATACTAGAAAAATAAGAATCCTGGCGTAAACAAAACCTCACCCACATATCACACCACATTCTATGTAAGTTTTCATATGAGTTTTTACAATTTTATCACTAAGTTTGCCTTTTCTAAAGTTTACACAACGTTCTGGAAAAGAAATAAAGTAATAATTTGTATTTTGGGTTTTCTTGGTCAATGGAAAAATTTTGAACTGGAAAAAATTTTTTATCCTTCCAAACTTACTGCAGTAGATCAGAATGTCAAAAAACATATAAAACTTCATTATGAGTCAAAGTTGTAAAAATTAGAAAAAAAACTTAACAAAAAAAAAAAATACAAAAATACAAAATTTTGTATTTTTGTTGTTTTTTGACAGACAGACTTCTCTAAAAACTATTTTTTGGAATCAGGGGGTCATGAAACGAAAAGATTTACCAAAATTAGACATTGCTCAAAATCGCACAAATCCAAGACTTTCTCATTTTTGATGAGAATGTAAAAACAAATTTTACGGAAAAAATCCAAAAAAGGCAGAATTTTTGAAAATTTTGAGTTCCTTTTTGTTCCTAATTTTGTATTTTTACCTAAATTTGGCATCTAAAAGAAAAAAAGGAAGGTTTCGATATGTTTTCCATGTTTTTTCATGTTTCGGCTAATGCTTTACTCACTATAAATTTCAATTATTTGTACTTTTTTGGAAAAAAATTTCTTAAATTTGTGTAAAAGATGCAATTGTTGATTCTAATGTTAAGAAAGGTGTATTAGCATGATATAAACTAATTTTTATTAACACGGCCCCAAAAAGACAAATTTTCTACTGCAGAGAAGGCTGACAAAAAGTCCAAAAAAGCAATAAATAGCAAATTTTTAAAAATTAAAAAATTCATAACTTTTTTGTTTTTTGTTGTACTGAAAAGTGTCTAAAGGAAGAGTTGTTTGTTTTTGCACTAAATTTAAGGAAAAAATAAAAAAGAAGTATTTTTTTGAAAATTGCAAAAAATACAAAATTTTGAAAATTTCCAAATTTTGTATTTTTGTTGTTTTTTGACGAAATGAGCTGGCCAACGAACTCAGGCTTCATTTTTATAGACTAAAATAGTCCCACAAATTGCAAATCAATTCATTAAAATTTATTCGAGTTATCGTGACGACAAAATTTTCTACAGACAGACAGACAGACTTCTCTAAAAACCATTTTTTTGGAATCAGGGGGTCATGAAACGTAAAGATTTACCAAAATTAGACATTGCTCAAAATCGCACAAATCCAAGACTTTCTCATTTTTGATGAGAATGTAAAAACAAATTTTACGGAAAAAAGCCAAAAAAGGCAGAATTTTTGAAAATTTTGAGTTCCTTTTTGTTCCTAATTTTGTATTTTTACCTAAATTTGGCATCTAAAAGAAAAAAAGGAAGGTTTCGATGTTTTTCATGTTTTTTCATGTTTCGGCTAATGCTTTACTCACTATAAATTACAATTATTTGTACTTTTTTGGAAAAAAATTTCTTAAATTTGTGTAAAAGATGCAATTGTTGATTCAAATGTTAAGAAAGGTGTATTAGCATGATATGAACTAATTTTTATTAACACGGCCCCAAAAGGACAAATTGTCTACTGCAGAGAAGGCTGACAAAAAGTCCAAAAAAAGCAATAAATAGCAAATTTTTAAAAATTAAAAAATTCATAACTTTTTTGTTTTTTGTTGTACTGAAAAGTGTCTAAAGGAAAAGTTGTTTGTTTTTGCACTAAATTTAAGAAAAAAATAAAAAAGAAGTATTTTTTTGAAAATTTGCAAAAAATACAAAATTTTGAAAATTTCCAAATTTTGTATTTTTGTTGTTTTTTGACGAAATGAGCTGGCCAACGAACTGAGGCTTCATTTTTATAGACTAAAATAGTCCCTCAAATTACAAATCAATTCATAAAAATTTATTCGAGTTATCGTGACGACAAAATTTTCTACAGACAGACAGACAGACAGACAGACTTCTCTAAAAACCATTTTTTTGGAATCAGGGGGTCATGAAACGTAAAGATTTACCAAAATTAGACATTGCTCAAAATCGCACAAATCCAAGACTTTATCATTTTTGATGAGAATGTAAAAACAAATTTTACGGAAAAAAGCCAAAAAAGGCAGAATTTTTGAAAATTTGATACCGTCAATTTCGCGCTTTGACAACACCAAACGAATTTTGGACCCTTGTTAAAAACAAGTTTCCGAAAACTCGGTGAAAATTACGAATTTAGGGAGCAAATTCAGAGAGAAAGAAATCTCGGACCCTCCTGGAGTTTCCGAAGATTTCTCTATAATTCGGGGAATCGATTATACGCGCAAACCAAATTTTAAAAAAAAAGTAAATAAATAAATGAGTAAAATTAAAAATTGATTTAAAAAGAAAAAAAAGAAATAATAATTTTTGGACCCTGCGCGAGTTTCCAAAAAAAAAAAAAAAAGGTCAAAAAAAAGGGGGGACACGATTATGGACCCTCAGGAAGTTTCCAAAAATCGCCGGGAAAGGAAATGACAGGGAATAAAGGAAAAACACAACCTCGGACCCTCCGGGAGTTTCCGAAGTTTGTGTTACTCGGAGAAAGGAAGTTTAAGAATTTTAGACCCTCAGAAAGTTTCTAAAAATTCTTAAAAGGAAAGGAGAAAAAGGAAGAAAATTTTGGACCCTCGCAAGAGTTTCCAAAAATGTGTGGTGGATGGAAAAACTAATGAACCAAAAAGCGCGTTGAATAAAACCCGAAAGTTAAATGGATGGGAAAAAGTAAAAATTTAGAATTAACTAAAATTAGTTAAAATCAAAACGGATGAATTTATTTTATTTCGTAACACTGTTAGCGGGAGGTTTGAGTGGTGCGACCGTGCAGGTAGGCAGCTCGGTAAGAAGTGACGACGAGAGCTCCGTCTCCGAGCTCTGTGGCGCGGCTGAGTGGGGAGACTCGCGCAGTGGGAGCGATCGACGCTCCGATTGGCTGACGCGGCCTAGTGCGACCGGCTGATGCCGCATTCCTGCAATTCGGAATCTTCGCTTTTGCTCAGCGACGGAAAAATAAAAACTAGCTTTCGCGAATAATTGAAAGATTATCTATTGGTAATTTATCGATTATCAATTCCACGGGGTCTGTCTTGAGCAAAAGCGATGATTTTGAATTTTACAAATTAGGAATTTAACTGGAAATAAAATATAATTATTAATAAAACTAGTAAAAATACAATTAGAAAAACATAAAAAATCGTAAAAATTCGAAGAGTTTAAACATAAAAAAATATTATAATGATGCGACGACAAACTAAAATTTTCTCGGCGAGAACAATTTAAGAATCACTAATTTGCCGTTATTCGGAGGCAATAATAAGAATATTAAAAATAGAATAAAATTCAATTACAATGTTTAATAATATTATTAAGTAAGATAATTATGTAAGAAAAGTAAAATTAATACAAATTACAGATTGTGGAAAACACGCAGTACAGAGAAAAAATAATAAATACGATACAACGGAGAATGTAATCAAAACAATACTCGTTTCGCGCTATGCAGTGGGTTCAAAGGGTTTACCAGTCCCAGCTTTGGTCGTTTCGGCGTTCTATACGTTGAAGGCCGAGCGTGCGGTAGCGTAGGACGCGGAGAGTGCAATTTGTCGCGCTTTACAATTTTCTTCGGAGATTTCGAATGATTGCGCGAACATCTCGATGTTTTCTTTCTGCACGGTGATCGTATTGCCTTCGAATTTTTCTTTTCTGAGCGCGCGGGGCTTCTCCGTCGTTTCCTAGACGGTTCTTTTGTCGGGGGGCGTGGCCGTTTCTTTTTATCCGGATCCTCCAAATTTGCGATATCCACGGTTTTTCGCCACTCTTTGAACACTCTTTGTTTAACGGGTGTATCTCTCGATTGTGGGTTGTCTCGTCGAATCGTAATGCGCATGTCATTAAATTTGGATTTTCGCGAAATTTTCCAGCGAGAGGAGGGACTACCAATTTTCGTTGGTGACAGAATAGATTTGACGTTTGGATGGTTTTGTTCGCCGACTCGATAAAACGCGAGGTGAGGCGGTGAAACTTGGACCGGTGATGTCCTCAAATCGAGAATGTCTAAATCTACTTCGGGAGATTTTACAACCGGCGGTGCGACTTCTTTCGGAGGCGTAGAAAGAATATCGAGAGCTTCTTCGATCGTGTAAAATTCTTTCTCCTGAGATATTTTCGTGGACTCCGGATTTTTATCATCGACGGTAACTTCACGCGGAACGGGTCATTCCACCGAAACGTTTTGGTCGATTTCTTTAGGTGGGGATTTTCTCGGACTGGAAAAGACGTTCAAGGGAGGGATTGTCGGCGTTGAGTCCACAATTTTCGGAGGTAAAACCTCTATTTGTTTTTTACCTTTTTTCCCTTTTCGTCTATGTCTTCCCACGGGGATTGGAACATAAATATCCGGATTTTTCCGCTGTTCTTCGAAAGCTTTTCTTCTCATTTCGGTCCGGCGTTTGTGTTGACTAGGTTTCTTTTTTGGCTTTTCCGTTCGAACTTCATTCACAGTTTCATTTTTCGCATCCATAATAATCTATTTACTATTGATTTAAACTTTACTTAATTTTTTGCGAGACGCGACCTTCTCTGCTCTCGCGGAGGGCATTTGCTTAATACTGAAACAAAGGCTCGACGCGCCTGGAGTTCACTGCGCCCAAGGCTCCGCCCACTGCGTCAAACTGCAGTAGTAAGGAGATGGGAAGAGAAATTCGCTACTCGCCTGTATCTATCGCGGACGTAGGTTGTAGCGCCTATTTACAGGGGCCGTTTGCACTCTTTTTGATATTTCTCGCGCGTTTTTCGGTACTTCGAGGCGAGGAAAATTTAAATCGTCCGTTTCGGATTCTTTTCTTTTCGAAGAGCGCAAATTGTAACCGTGTCTATGTTTATGAGTTACTAATTCCTTGGTTATTCTCGGCAATTCAAGAGTTTTCTCCGGTTGTACTTCTGGCTCGATTAATTCCGGATTTTGAAGTTTCTCCGCTCTTTCTCGAGGGAACGCGCGTTTCAGATCCTTACTATGAATTTTTGCCAGTCGATTTTTCAAATCAACCTCGTAGATTTCACCTCCACAATGGCGTTTTATTACGTATGGACCTTCTCCACGGGGAGCTAAACCAGCGTGAAAACCTTTTTCCTTGTTCGACAGGCGGTGCGTTCGTACATAAACAAAACTGCCGACAGGAATTTTCTTATTTGATTTAGGTGGCACGGCATATTTCTCTTGATATGTGGCTTGATGTTTAGTGACTTCCTGAACACGTTCTTCCAAGTTTTTTACAGCCTTTCTTCCGGTCTGTAGAACCCATTCTCCGGGTCTCTTGGCAGTGGTTCCGAATAGGACCTGACTCGGCGTCCGTCCGGTTGCCGCATTTCGTCGATTTCTGACATTGAATAAAATGTCAGCGATGTCAGAGTCCCATTTTCGATGAGAAGCATCGACAAGTCGTAAGCGCATTCCTTTTTTCACTTCCTGGTTCCTCCGTTCGGTCGGATTCGCCTGCGGGTGATAGGGAGGAGTGTGCCAACTTTCGCAGTTCCACTTCGCGCATGCTTTTTCCCAGATATTACCGATAAATTGAGGGCCATTATCGGTAATGATGGCTCTGGGGTAACCGAATCGATTGAACACCTCTTTTTCGAGCAAGTAGGTGATACGGGGGGCTTTGGAAGATCCAAGGGGGAAAGCTTCCACCCACCGTGAAAAAAGATCGGTAACTACGAGGAGAAATCGTTTTCCGTGCGATGAACGTGGGTATGGTCCCATTAAATCGACAGCAACCGTATCCCACGGGGCCTTTGGTTGGCGTGGGCGTACCTCGTTGTTGCTCTGCGACCTAAAAGACTTACAGCAGGAGCAAAGGGTGCAACTTTTGACGTAGTCTTTTATTTGTGAGACCATTTTGGGCCACGTGAAGAGTTCTTGGACAGCGCGCAACGTCTCTTCTTCGCCTGGATGTCCGGCTTGGCTAGCGTCGTGATACTCGTGCAGAAGTCTCTGCTGACAGACTTCTGGCACCACGAGTAGCCATGAATCATGGGGATTCTTGCGGCGAAAAAATCCTTCGTCCGATAGGATGTGTTCGCGGAAAAATTTCTCTTCGACCTTGTTTCGATTTTTCTTGTTTTTCAGGTTTTTCCAGCGTCGTACCTGGCTGATTATGTTTTCATCCTCTTGTTGCGAAGCGATGACCTCTTCGAAAAAGTTGGAATGCGTGATTTGCGCGAGAAAAGGTGCATCAAATTGAGGAGCGATCTCAGGTGGAAGAAGAAAGTTATCTTCTTCGGTTTCGTTTGGTAAATCACTCGGATTCTGCGCGAGCGCGGTAGCTAATTCGTGACCGGCATTGGTTCGAGAATGAATCGTAAATTGGAATTGGTCCAAAAATCGTGCCCAACGTCCCAATTTCGGCGTGTTTTCTTTCGAATTTTTAAGCCACTTTAACGCTTTTTCGTCCGTGTGCAGATGAAAAGGAGTTGCTTCTAACTGTGGGCGAAAATGTTTGAGGGCCCATTCTACCGCGTGACATTCTTGCTCCAGTCCAGAATAGCGCTTTTCGGTAGAGCTAAACTTAGCGCTGGCGTACCTGATCACGTTGCGAGAACTTTCTTCGAGTTGAAAAAGCACTGCCGCCATTCCTTCGGAACTTACTGTGGTTTGAAGGTGAAAAGGCAAGTCGGGGTTTGGACGTCCAAGACTAAGATCCGCTTGGAAGGCATCTCTGATTTTGTTGAACGCGTTTTCGGCTTCTTCCGTCCATTTCCATTTTCCTGCCTTCTTTCCTAGTAGATCCGTGAGCGGAGCGGATAACATGGAAAAATCGGGGACGTATTCGCGTATCCAACCACAGATGCCGAGGAATTTTTGTAGCTCCTTTTTGCTGGTTGGACGAGCGGCTTGGATAATAGCCTGAACGTGGTGTTCTTGGGGCTCGTTATTTGCGCCTAAAACTTGATGGCCCAAATATTTTAATTCTTTCTGGCCGAAAAAACATTTGTCGATTGAACAAGTTAGACCGTGAATCTCTAATCGTTCTAACACGAGATTTAAATGACGCATGTGATCGGTCCAATTTTGTGAATAAACGATTATATCGTCCAAAAAGGCCATACAGAAGCGATTTACGTATCCTCGTAACACGGTTTGACTAATCAATGTTTGGAACGTGTTCGGAGTGCCTTTTAAGCCAAAAGGCATGACGCGAAATTGGTAAGTCCCGCCGTTTGGAATCGAGAATGCGGTAAATTGTTTACAATTCTCATCCATCGGTACTTGCCAGTATCCCCAGCGCAAATCTAACACGGAAAATATTTTCGCGTTTCCGAGTTCTTTTAGAGAGTCGGTGATCCTGGGCAAAGTGTGATTTACGTCTTGTGTGATCGAATTTAGGCGACGAAAATCCACGCAGAAACGAAATTTTCCGTTCTTTTTCTTCGTCAAGACCACGGGGGAGCAATAAGGTGATGTACTCGGTTCGATGACTCCGTTGGAAAGCATCTCTTGAACTTGCTCAAGCATTTCTTTTCGCTTTTCAGCTGACGATGGATACGGCCTTAACCGAAAAGGTCGGTTATCGGTTAATTCGATTTTGTGACGTGTTGATCGAGTTTGCGTTAGACTAGGACCGGGCGCAACTGTGGTGGCGTAACGTTGTACGATTTCGAGAAATTCGCCTTCATATTCTGGTGGGAAATCGTGAATAAGATTTTCCATGGCGATTTCGTTTTCCACGTCGATTTGGTCTCGTGGTTTCGATTGTTGGTGGAAAAATATTGTGAATCGACTCTCTTTACCCGCGTAAATTCTTTTTCCTGGAATGTCGATTATTGTTTGTTGATCTTCCATCCAGGGTAAACCCAAAATCATTTCTTCTCTCAGCTGTTCGCAGACAAAAAATTCAACATTCATCTCTTGTGTATTAATTCGAACAAGGAGCGTGATTCGTCCCAAGATTTTCATACTCGTTCCGGGCGCTGCCAAGCTTACCTTGTCGAAACTCGAGGCGAGAGACGCGAGTTGCGCTGAATTTAATTTAGAGGAATGAATAAAGTTTTCGGTTGCTGCTGTGTCGATGATCGCAACTATTTCTTGATCGTTGGTAAAGGTTAATACGCGCGGTAATTTTCGATGATTTTGGAGAGTCAGATAAAGCGAAGTTAATGTTTCGGCTGGTTGTTGTTGTTGTTGGCGGTGGTCGGTGCATCCACCGCCCGTCGCCAGTTTTCCTGACCTGTGTTTTTACGGTCCTCTAACTGCTTTTTGTAAACCGCGCAGTCTTTGTGCAAATGCTTTTCAGGGCAGTACCAGCAGTCTGGAGGATACTTTTTCGTAGCAGCTGGATTTTCGACGATTTTCCTTTCTTCTCTGCGCGGTTGGCTTCGTAGCAAATCCAGTTCGTCCTTTTCCGATTCAACAGCTCTGGTCAGCAGCGTAGCACAGTCCGGCGGATTTGAAGCGCGTATTGCGTGTCGGATCGCTGGTTTCAGAAGCTCCATTAGAGTATGCACGATGACTTCTTCTGTTTCTCCAGGTCGCAATCTCCGGAAAAGTAAGTATTTCTTCTGAAGAAAAACCCCCACGGGCTCTTTTTCCCCTTGACGTAGGGAAAATAGCTGGGCTTGTAATTTTCCGAGTATCGCAGGAGAATTATATTGGCGCAGTAAAAGGTCTCGAAACTGGTTCCACTCAAAGGGGACTCCTTTGTACATCTCCCACCACTTTTCTGCCTCACCACGAAGAGCTTGGCTTGCTACGCGAACTTTGTTTGTTTCAGGCGTTCCCAGGAGCTGGAAGTAGTTGTTCATTTCTCGTAAGAAGTTGACTGGATCTTCGTGTTCTTTTCCAAAGAACTCTGGTACAGGTACAGGATTACGTTGTGCCTCCATGAATGCGCGCCACGCGTACCAATTTGGATCGGGTACTGGTGCTGGTGGGTAATAAGCATTCTGGGGGGGCTCTACCCTTGGTGGAATCTGTGAATTACTAACGTTTCTTCCAGGAGCCTGATTAGATACTGGAACTGAACTCGGCATATTGGAATTTGTCGCCTGAGATCCATAACCGGAATTGCGGGAAAAAATCGGATCCTGGATTATAGGCCTTGTGTTTCTCGGTCCAATATTGTCAGATAAAAATTGATCGTATCTGGAAATCCCACCGAGGTCCGCATAACGTGCTCCTTGTTGTCCAATTTCCGCGAAAGGTCTCTGTGGAGGACTTTGAATAGAAATTGAGCTGTTTAGTAAACTCGGTAAACCCGAGTAAACCATTCTTGTTGGTTCCGAAGTGCCTATTATCCTGGTAGTCATTATTCCGGATGGTCCAGGAGCGTGATAGTTTGTCGAAACTGTTGCTAGGTTGAGACCAATTTGTGTCGATACTCCACCGATGAGCGATGTAGTGATCATTGGCAATGAATTCGGTGCAGTGCTCACGATTGAATCAGTCGTCATATTTAACGAATTATTATTTACAGTTACGCTGGCGGACGATCGATTTAAAAGAATTTCGCTTCCAGGTGGTGAAAT